CCTAAAAATCAAACACTTATGCTCATCAAAAGACTTCACCAAAAGAGTCAAAAGACAACCTACAGACTGGGAAAAAATTTTTGGCTATGACAAATCCGATCAGCACATAATCTCTAAAATCTACAAGATACTGCAAAACCTCAACAATAGAAAGACAAATAACCCAATTAAAAATTAGGCAAAGGATATGAACAAGCACTTCGCCAAAGAAGACATTCAGGCGGCTACCAGATACGTGAGGAAATGCTCACGATCATTGTTCATTAGAGAAATGTAAAATCAAAACTATAATGAGATATCATCTCACCTGAGAAAGGCTAGCATAAATCTAAAAAACAAAAACAATAAATGTTGGAGAAGTTGTGGAGAGACTGGAACACTTATACACTGCTGGTGGGAATGTAAAATGGCACAACCACTTTTGAAATCGATCTGGCGCTTCTTTAAAAAGCTTGAAATAGAAATACCATATGATCCAGCAATCTCACTCCTAGAGAATAAGAGCCGTCACATGAATAGATATATGCACACCCATGTTCATTGCAGCACTCTTCACAATAGCAAAAAGATGGAAACAAACTAGGTGCCCATCAACAGAGGAATGGATAAACAAATTATGGTATATTCACACAATGGGATACTGCGCAACGATGAAGAACAATGATGAATCTACGAAACGTCTCGTAACATGGATGAGTCTGGAAGGCATTATGCTGAGTGAAATTAGTCAGTACCAAAAGGACAAATATTGTATGAGACCACTATTATAAGAACTCAAGAAATGGCTTAAACACAGAAGAAAACATTCTTTGATGGTTACGAGGGTGGAGAGGGAGGGAGATTGGATATTTACTATCTAGACAGTAGATAGGAATTATGTGAAGGGAAGGACAGCACACACTACAGGGGAAGTCAGCACAATGGGACTAAACCAAAAACTAAGAAGTTTCCTCAATACAACCAAACACTTTGAGGGACACAGTAGCAGGGGTTGGGGTCTGGGGACTATGGTTCCAGGGGACATCTAGGTCAACTGGCATAACAAAGCTTATTAAAAAAATGTTCTGGATCCCACTTTGGTGAGTTGCATCTGTGGTCATAAAAGCTAGCAAGCGGCCATCTAAGATACATCAATTGGTCCCAACCCACTTGGAGCAAAGGGGAATGAAGAACACCCAAGACACAGGGAAATATTAGCCCAAGAGACAGAAAGGGCCACGTAAACCAGGGATTCCATCAGTCTGAGGCCAGAAGAACTAGATGGTGCCTGGCTACCACAAATGACTGCCCTGACAAGGAACACAACTGAGAGTCCCTGGTGGAGCAGGGCAAAAGTGGGGTACAGAATTCAAATTCACATAAAAAGACCAGACTTAATGGTCTGACTGAGACTGGAGGGACCCCAGAAGACATGGCTCCCGGACTCTCTGTTAGCACAAAACTAAAACCATTCCCAAAGCCAACTCTTCAGACAAAGATTAGACTGGACTATGGGACATAAAATGATACTCGTGAAGAGAGTGCTTCTTAGCTCAAGTAGATACTTGAGACAAAATTGGCAGCTCCTGTCCGGAGGTAAGATGAGAAGGCAAAAAGGGACAGGAGCTGGGTGAACAGACACGGGAAATCCAGGTTGGAAAGTAGGAGTGTGCTGTCACATTATAGGGAGAGCAGCTAGGGTCACATAGTAATGTGTGCATAAATTTTTGTATGAGAAACCGACTTGAACTGTAAACTTCCACTTAAAGTACAATAAAAAAAAATGATTGCTTCAGTTATTTAACTACTCATGAAAGAAGAAACAAGTCCTCAGATGAATTTCAAAGTCTTTCAAGTATACAGACTCAAGGGGAGTAGCAAATGCTGCAATAACTATTGAGGTATGTTATTTGTGTATTGCAGACGTGATATTAGTTCAATTTACATATGTACCCTGAACTTAGTATAGCTTTCATGAATATTATGGATAAGGAATAATATAAGAGAACTATAAAGCTTTTGTGCAGACATGGAACTCTGATGAACATGCTATCTAAATAATAAATTAATTGTCTGAAAGGCTTTCTATAGTTGAAAATATTAAGGTTTTCATTAAAATTTGTGAATGTAAGGATTATGCAAATCATCTTTACGCTCTGTGACTGGTCATCAAGATAATAACATAATAGGAAAATTATTTTAATAACACCGGATGCAGTAAGTAGACAGCTTATTTAAATAATTAAGTGGTTTATTAATATTCATTGGCAATTATATATCTAGTCTCTGAATTAAACATTTTTCCAGCTTTAAAGTGGTAGTGCAGTACGCATTTTCTTAACGATCACCTTCCATATTATTTTTGTGGCTCTCTTTTACCTTTAAATGGGAGAAATGAAGTATACCAGTGATTAGAAACATCACACATCTCCTTCCTCATTCTAAGTAAGAGTTTGTAAAGCCTGCAAGGAACTCTATATCAAAGAGTAAACCATAAAAACAGTGATACTTAGCTTGAAGAACTAACATCACGCCCATGATAATTGGATTTGACGTGTCCATTTGAAATATGCATTTGTAGTTTAAATAGACCCTTTCTGAAGCACTCCAAAAGCAAGCACCTTACTTAACAGTAAGAAGACAATCTTTCATTTAACTCGCTTTTGTAGTGATACATGCTTTTTCATTTGTGTCATCTCATTTGAGTCCCCATAATAATCGTAGAAGTTAGGTAAAGAAGATATTACCCATCTGCTAGAGATAAAGTAACTCAGGTTTTGTGAGATTAAGTAGCCCAAGGTCAGATACAGTAGTGAGGCTGGGACTGTACCTCAGCTCTCCCGAAACAACACGTGTAAACTGCCTAGTTCAGTGTCTGACCCTGTGTATGGACTGGATGAAAGGCACCTCCTTTTCTTTTCCCAACTAGCCCAGTGTTCTTTTCCACTTCAAGGCACTGCCCAGTCCTGCAGCAGTAGATTTAAATAGTACACAAAATAATTATAGATGAAACGTTACTGATACCAAAACGAAAACATTTTCTCTTTAGTCATATCTGCTGCAAATAAGAGCAATTTAGACATTATCCAAGGTAAGAATCCCCTTTACCTTTATGATAAGTTTCCATTCTTGAACTGGACTGGTCTACAAAAAAAAAACTAGTAACCGAGAAATAAGTGAAACTAGCTACTAAAATAGCCTATCACTTCATAAAATGTTTTCTGAAGAAATGACCGCATGAAGGAATATGTTTCCATTAACCAATGCCAAGAAATTGAAAGGGTTCTTGTTAAGCTTAATTCATTCTGACCTATTCTGGGGGAAAAAAAATCGCTAATGCATCGTAGCAAATCTTATTTATTAGACCAGGAATCTATTACCATTTTTCCTTCTATGCTTTAATTTGTACATATTTATACTTAATTTAAGGATAATTATGAATAAAACATGAAAATCAGTGCATTTGCTTGTTCTGCAATCATATATGTTCTATTCCACATAATATCTCATCTGCCCTCATACCTTGTTTATACTCTAGTATATAATATTCAGATTTAATGACCTTGGTAATAGGATTTTCCTTACAAAACGTACTCACAAATCTGAAATTGGTGAATCAGCTGTCCAGAGAGAATATTATGTAAGTCTAGATTTGTAGCAATATGCTTAAGTTAAAGGTTCAAAATATGCTTTGACTAAGAAACTTCAAAATGCCAAAAGTTTCCTCCTGGATAGTGATATTCTCACTTTATAATCTCTCAGTCTGGCTCCATTTTCTGAAAACTAGCTGGTCCCTCTAAAGTGTATTTTGATAGCATGGATAATCAGCGAAAGAGCTTCTCTACATTATATGGAGATTACAATTACTGTATTCAAAATCCAAAATGCATACAAAAATAAAAATAAACCAAGGTAAGGCTGAAGTACCTCACACCTATAAAAATTCTTGAATTTTTATTCTTTAAGTGTCTCTATCTGATAAGTTGGCTTTGGTAGGGTGAGCTTATGACTGGCTTAGTTTTGTAAACACAAACGCTACATGTGGTCTTAAAAAACAAACAAGCAAACAAAGAATACTTACCAGTTTCATGGTGTCATGAATTTTACTCAGTTCAAAGCATCAAAAACAAAAATCAAACCCTTTGCCATCGAGTTCATTCCGACTCACAGCGACCCAGTAGGACAGAGTAGAACTGCCCCACTGGGTTTCCGAGGAGTGGCTGGTGGATACGAACTACCAACTTTTTGGTTAGCAGCCAAGCTCTTAACCACTACAACACCAGGGTTTCCAAACAGACATTATGTATTTCCTAATGTGCCACCAAAGCACATCATGTTTCAAAAAGATAGAAATCAACAAATTTAAATTAAACGTTATGTTCATTCAGATGGGACTCACCTTCAGAGAATCAAAACAGGCTACCACACGACCATTTTCCACATGGCAAACTCTTGGCGGATGGGCAAACTTGCAATCAGCATCAGCTCGAGAGCAAGTTCCTCTCTGAAATTCTCTACAGACTTCTAAAGTCAGCCACTTGGTATCACGAATCAGGGCAACATTGACAGCCGTCATATTGAAAGGAAAATTAAAATCAAGTGCACCCTCTTCTGGACAATGTCACTGCTGGTTGTTAAAAGGTGAAAAAAATGAAACCACGCTAAATGTGACGGGAGAACAGGTTGCTTTGGTGCAATGTTGATTTGTTAGCACTTAGGTTTTCATTTAAGTCAAATCCAATCTAGTCAAACAAAAATCCAGTCATAAAACAAAAATTGTATCAGAATAATTAAAAATCAAATTAGAGACCAACTCCTAAAAAGGCAATGGTAAAGGTTAAGATATTGAGTGTTGTAGTTTGTTCCTCTGCCGAAGTTACTTCAAATAACTGGCGGACTTTCAAAAGAATTCTGAGCGCTCCAGTTTCTGTTTTCAATTATTTTTTGCAAAAAGCATATGCTGCTGGCTGCCCTTTAATTTGTAGAACGGTCTCAGATCACGGGGAGAAAAGATTCCCCCCCCCCCTATTTTTTGGCTTGAAAGGTTAATATTGGTAAGGGTGTTGTAACTGTGCAAAAAAAAGTAAAATAAAATAAAAGTTGTGCTGCAAAATCAGGGAGAGGGAAAACGATTAAGAAAATTGAGAATCGAAGAAAAAAAGGCTGGACAAGTTACTGACAGTGAACTTATAAGCCCACCAAGTTTGTTTGTTGGTGTTTTGGTGGAGATGTGGTAGGGAGAGGGGATTATAGAGAGGCAGCTCTAGAGCAGAATCCAAGCAGCAGTTTTCAGAAAAGGCACTTTTCAGAAACCTGCAAGAAAAAAATAATTGTAAAATTAGCTAAAATAATACAATGCTTCTGTTTTAAGCTCTAAATTTGGAAAAGAAGTAACCATGTCCTATTTAAAACAGGAAGCATCTAGATACTGACAGTGCAGTATAGTACAGTCAGCTATTGTCAATAAAAGTGCATTTTCGAATGCAGAACTGTGCATAGTAAAAGGAAGTAACCACTTAGATTTACTGTTGCAGTACAAGACTGGGCAACAACCCAATTAAGAGAAAAAAAAAAGTTTTATTTTGATCTGTTTGGGGCAGAAATTCACTTTGGGGTCCACTGCACAGAAAATGCCATAGCCTGATATGACAGTACCTTACGCGTTTATGGTTCACTTGTCTGTCTCTAGTTTTTAAAGGCTACCAAAGACTTGTCTTTAAACTGGCTTTACTAAGCACCTTGGAAGACAGGTCTGGTGATCTGCTTCCAAAAGGTCAGAGCCTTGAAAGCCCTATGGAGCAGTTCAACTGTGCATACATGGGATTGCCATGAGTGAGAATCAACCCGATGGCAATTTTTTTTTTTTACTATGGTCTTATTGAAGGCTTGATTATCTGCTCTCAAAATCCAGAAAATAGTTGTAAGAGGTAACTCCGCGTGTGTGCTTGAAATATAATTGTTGATGATCACATGAAACAGTCCTGATACAACTAGCTGGAGATGTACTGCGTATGAGGTAGAGCGGAGGAAGGAAATGTAAAATGTGCTTCAGACAAAGAGAAAAATGCCTTTGAAAAGATACCGGACTTTTCTTCTGTGTATGCCCTTTTAGTTTTTACAAAGAGAAAGCTGAACAACTCAGAAGTAGGTTTCAACGTACATGAATAAGTGAGACAGAAAGCGCTGTTCAGTGACACTTTAAATACTGTTTACCTTTAAGAGTTGCAATTTAACCAAGTGTCAACCAGCAACAATTTCAAGCAACTCAGCAGAGAAGTTATATGAAAGGTTAACTGATTGGCACATACTGAAATAACAGGGATTTTCCAAAGCAAAAAAATAAACTCAGCTCTGATTGTCAGACAAATTAACTAATTATTAACTGCATCATGAGAGCAGAACAAAAGTTGTCGAAAACATTTAATTTTTAGACAATAATTTCAGTAACTTTACAGAATCTGAATTTTGTTTGTCCTTTTTGCACTCAAGAAGAAACTCAGTATCATTTGAATTTTTAGATACCATTGGGAAATTAAGTCTCTAGAAAATTCAGGCAAGCTTATCTTTCCATTCAAGAGCAAAACATGTTTTTGATTTAGCCATTATTTGTGGAGATCTTTCTAAAATGTATATATTATATATATATCTTTGTGTTCTAAACAAAACAAAACAAAAAACACTGAACATAATTTGGCCTCTGGTTGAAGACTTAGGGTCATTAAAGTCCTGGAAAGTAGTATAGTTTTTCTCCTTCAGTAGCAGCCTGCTCATTGTCACTTCTCCTACTGCCACAATATCTGCTATAGTAGACTGTCCAGTTCCCTTCTGGAAAACATAAGAGCCAATCGTGATAAGAAATGAATACAGAATAAGAGTTAGCAACCTGTTGAATGTGGAGCCTAAAGGGCAAAATGTATGTCTTTCCTGCAGAAGTTCTATCACTTCTCTTACTGCTCTGGAATGCTCTTGCATTCCATTCCACGTGGGACTGTGTTCTGTAGGATTAAGGTTGTCAGAGAAACGACCTCCAGAAAAATATTTTAAAAATATATTTTTTCAAAGCCTGATAGGAAAAATGACAACCACAATGAGATACTACTTCTTACCCACTAGGATGGCTATGATCAAAAAGAGAGAGAATAACAGGTGTTGGCAAAGATATGGAGAAATTAGAATCCTCATATACTGCAGGTGCAAACAAAAAATGGTGCAGCTACTTGGGAAAACAGTCTGACAGTTTCTCAAACATTTAAATGTAGAGTTACTATTTGACCCAGCAATTCCACTACTAGGTATACATCCAACAGAGATGAAAACAATGTCCATGCAAAAACTTCTATACGAATGTTCAAATCAGCATTTTTCCATAATAGTCAAAACGTGGAAACAACCCAAATGCCCATTAACTGATGAATGGACAAATAAAATGTGGTATATCCATACAATGGAATATTCAGCTATATTGAGTAATGAAGTACTTGATACACGCTACCACAGATGAACCGTGAAAACATGACGCTAAGTGAAAAAAGCCTGACACAAAAGGCCACATATTATATGACCCCATTTATATGAAATATCCAGGATAGCCAATTCCATAGAAACAGAGCAGATTAGTGATTGCTTAGGGCTGGGTGGGGGGATGAAGAGATTGGTGGTGACTGCTAAAGGGTATAGGTTTTCTTGTTGGGGCGATGAAAATGTTCTAAAATTGATTGTGGTGATGGTTGCACAACTTTGTGAATATACTAAAACCCATTGAATTATATACTTGAAATGGGTAGACTGTATGGTTTGTGATCATATCTCTATAAACTGGTTATAAGAAAAAAAGACAGAGAGAGAGAGAAACTAAAGAGACATGAAAACTAAAAAAGAAAAAAGCAGCAGCCTGATGGGACTGGCTGCCTCAAGCTTTTTGAGATTCGCCTTAGACACAAATTCTTCTAAGTAGTGTTACCAAGCTGAATTTCAAGAGTAAATTAGTCTCTACACTGTAACTGATTTAGCGTACTACAGAAAATACTCTGAAATAGCAGCAAAGGACAATGGTTGTATTCATGTTCTGGAAGTCTGCAAGTTGGTATTTAAATATATATTCAAACTCAATCCTACAACCAAATTATATATGCTGCCTGAACATATCGGAAAGCAAAATAGCCAAAAAAAGAATATATATAAGGGATAAGCATTTGCTCAGAACATAAACAGTGAGGGTTTGGGGGAGATTTTTTTTTACTGAGGTCCATCAAGTATAGAAACAGATGATAAATAATAAGCTAGAATTTTGAACTTTTCTAAATGAAAAATGGAAACAGGAATTGGTCTTTGGCAACATGTTTTATGTAAGACCAGGGATGGGAGAAGAAGGAATTTTCTTCTTTTTTTGGCCTGTATCCTCTTATGGAACCCTGGCCAATTGCTCAAAGCACTTCTAGCCAGCACACGTCTTCAGACTGGAACTATTTTTTGTAACTGGCTCAGAAGAATGTAGGTGCAACAACTAAAGGGAGCTGGTTGGGAGGGTGAGGAGGAGTTCTCTCGTGCAGCTTTGCTGGCCTGACAAGGTAGAAAAAACAGGGAGTGCTTCCATTTTTTCCTCTATTTTTAAGAAGATCAACTCTGTTTTGGGAACAACATGGCTTTATCTTCGCTACCTTAGACTTGAGTAATAGAAATACAATTTTGCTTTTTATAATTTATAGTCCTCTACTGCAGTGGCAGGAGGCCAGGTGGTGCAGTGGTTAAAGCAATTGGATGATAACTGAAACATTGGCGGTTCGAACCCACCAGCCGCTCAGTGTAAGAAAAATGTGGCGATCTACTTCTGTAAAGATTTACAGCCTTAGAAACCCTATGCGGCGTTCCACTCTGTCCTCTAGGGTCACTGTGAGTCAGAATCGACTGGACGGCAGTGGGTTTTGGTTTGGGTTTAATGTAGTAGTGCAGTGGTTAAGTGGTCGACTGCTAACCTTTGCAAGGTTAGTGGTTTGGATCTACCAGCCTCTGCGGGAGAAAGATGTGGCAGACTGCTTCTGTAGAGATTCCAGCCTTGGAAATCCTATACGGCAGTACTATTCTGTCTTATAGGGCCACTGTAAGTCAGAACGGACTCGACGGTAACAGGTTTGGTTTTTGGGTTTTAATGTAGAATATGTTTCCTTTTTTTTTTTTTTGGTATCTTAAAAACCAAACCCGTTGCCATCAAGTCAATTTTGACTCATAGCGACTCTATAGGACAGAGTAGAACTGCTTCATAGGGTTTCCAAGGAGCAGCTGGTGTATTTGAACCGCCGACGTTTTTGGTTAGCAGCTGAGCTCTTAATGACTGCACCACCAGGGCTCCTTATGTACCTTAGAAGTGAAGAATATTGAATATACCACGGACTGCCAGAAGAACGAACAAATCTGTCTTGTAAGAAGTACAGCCAGAATGCTCCTTAGAAGGAAGGATGGAGAGACTTCATCTCACCACTTTGGACTTGTTATCAGTAGGGACCAGTCCCTGGAGAAAGACATCACGCTTGGTAAAATAGAGGGTCAGAGAAAAAGAGGAAGACCCTCAATGAGATAGATTGACACAGTGGCTGCAACAATGGGCTGAAACATAGCAATGATTGTGAAGATGGCACAGGACAGGGAAGTGTTTCATTCTATTGTACATGGGGTCGCTATAAGTCGGAACCGACTCGATGGCACCTAACAAGAACAACAGGAGCGAGGATGGCAAGACTTCGGCTAGCTTACTTTGGACACATCATCACAAAGACCAATTGCTAGAAAAGGACATCATGTTTGATAAAGTAGAGGGCCAACAAAAATGAGGGAAACCCTCAATGAGATGGATTGATACAATAGCCTCAAAAAGGGACTCAAACATAACAATGATCATGAAGATGGCACAGGACCAGGCAACTTTTTGTATTGTTATACATAAGGTTGCCATGAGTCAGAGCAGACTCAAAGGCAACTAACAACAATAAAAAAAAAACAGAATATGAAAAGTAACCATTTCTTAGTGCATATGTACTTATGTAATGTTTACAGTATTTCATTGATCTTTGGAGTTCTATAAAATACTCTAAAGTAGGAACGGCATAGGCAATTACCCAAAAATACTGATGAAGGAAATGAAGCTTACAGAGGCTAAATTACTTGTTTGATGTCACAAAGCCTTAAGTGGTAGAGAGCCACAACTCTAGGCAAGATCCTCTGACTCCAAATCCCATGCTTAGATCCTGGCAGAGAAATGTGTTAGAGGTCATTTCTTATCTCCCTTGGGAATCTGAACCAAGGAAAGCCAGTCATTTTTG